CAGTTTCAGTAAATTATTTTTGATAGCATTCCTATGCTGAAGATTAAAAAAGAATTTGGTGCATTTTTCCCCATATTCCATCCAGTTTGCTTTATTTTTATAATATATTACACTTGATCTTTCTTTAATAAGTTTCTCCATTTCTTTTTGTTTTTCCTCTAATTTATTCTGAGCCTCTATGTTACAGTTTTTATTGCTATCTATCTGTTCTGTTATACCTTCTATTTCCTTTGTTAGTATGGACTCTTTTGACCTAAATATCCTTTTGTTTTCGAGATGAGTACTGAATTGCATGGCCTCTAAAGGCACATTTAAAGGTGTCCCATACAATAAGGGGATTTGCTGTACCTATGTTATGTCGGAAAAAATCAGTTATGAATTCCTCTGTCCTAGTTAAAAACAAGGTATCATCCAGTAGGCGTTGACTAAATTTCCAATATCCTCGCCCACGTGGAAATTCAGTAAGAGTAATGTATATGCCAATTATATGATGGTCCAACCGCATTCTGTCCCCTATCAACACTTTTTAAACTTTTGGTGCCAACGAGAATGACATAAAAAAGAAGTCAAGATGACTAGCTTGATTGAGTCTCCGCCATGTATATCTCACTAGATCAGGATATTTAAGCCTCCATATATCTACTAATTCTAATGTATCCATGACATTCATGATTTCCTTAAGAGCATGAGGGTGACTGTTTGCAGTGTGATTTCCTTTAAGGTCCATTGAGCTATTTAAAACGGTATTATAATCTCCCACCATAATAATAGAGTCTTGAATTGCTTGCAGGGTTACTCATTTATTATATATATTGTCAAAGAAGTGTGGATCATCATTATTTGGTCCATAAAGGTTAATGAGCCATATCTGTTTATGGTCCAATAACATATTTAAAATAATTTGTACATTCGGATCGAAATCACTGTTAATTAATATCATCACCCCTTTTGAGTTTCTTTGCCCATGGGAGAAGTATATTTCACCCCCCCCATTCCTTTTTCCACGCAACTTCATCTAGAATTGTTGAATGAGTTTCCTGTAAACAATAGATATTGTATTCCTTCTCTTTGAGCCATGTAAATATTGTTCTTCTTTTGTTATTATCTGCTAAGCCATTACAATTATAACTGGCTATAATTATTTCACCATATACCATAATGAGATACAAGTTTCTAAACTATTTATTATTATATATGTTTGTAAATTTACCAATAAAAAATACCATAGTGATTGAGTGTCCATATAGCTGTACCATGATATTTGCACCACTAATTCCCCTGTTAAAGCCCCTCCCCGTCCCAAGTTGGGCCGTCATCCCAGTGATCGGCATACCACCCCCGTCCCTCCGGATCCCTAGGGCCCCAAGAGGCCAGGACCCATCCATCGAAAACAGCACATAGTGCCACCCACAAAACAGAAGCAGGTCAACCGCCAAAAGCATTTCCAATGCTCTCACCTCAATATCTATATATAGCTATTTAAAAATATATATCTATTGAAATATCTTGCATATCTTATTTTCCATCATTATCAATTAATATGCGTAATAATGTCGGCAGTTCATGCGCAGGATTTTAACCTATAACCCGGATTGCCATTGTATTACATTACATTTTTGACAAGCACTTATTATTTTAGCAAACAATTATTGTGGTTCATCCTATATTCTCAATAACATCCTTACCCCCCTTGCAACAGATCTGGGATAAACACACACGCACATACTCTAACACACTCAACCCCTTTCCTCCACAATCAACCATAAAATCAGATGCTCAACGGTTGTTACATCCCAGAGCCCAACTCAAGAAAGGACCTGATTTACGAATGCATATACAAATGCATATACAGTTACAGCTGTTTGAGAAAGCATGCAAGATTGAGCAGAAATTGACAACAATGTGAGATTTGATTAATCTATTTAATCTATGTCAAGTCCTAGGTGATGGAGATCAGATCCACCCTCTTCACCTGAGACACAAACACTCTGGTCCCCCATTGTAACCATTTTCCCCAAGCATCTCCGTGCAGTCAGACCTTTGATTATTTTGTGCCACCTGGGCCACAATGATAAGCCCCCTCTCTGATTGTCCGAGTGTGACCCCCTCCCCATGGGTTACTGCAGCCAATGTTGCCAGCACTGCCACTATCTGGGTGGAGGTACCCCACCGGAATCCCCACCGGCTAGGTACAAGGTCGTCAAGGTTCTCATTAGCAGCTTTGAGAATTTCCTTGTATATTATGCTCTCCCATCAGGGGGCTCTGGCTTTGTAGGACCAACCCTGCCAGGCAGGCTCACCACTCTCCTTTTTGGTAAAATAGCCCATACACAGCCTAGAGGTGTGTTGGGTCATTGTCCTGTTGAAAGACAATGATAGCCCTACTAAAAACAAACCAGATGGGATGGCGTATCGCTTCAGAATGCTGTGGTAGCCATGGTGGTTAAGTGTGCCTTGAATTCTAAATAAATCACAGACACTGTCACCAGCAAAGCACCCCCACACCATAACACCTCCTCCTCCATGCTTTACGGTGGGAAATACACATGCAGAGATCATGGGTTCACCCACACCGCGTCTCACAAAGACACAGCTGTTGGAACCAAGAATCTCAAATTTGGACTCCAGACCAAAGGACAAATTTCCACTGGTCTAATGTCCATTGCTCGTGTTTCTTGGCCCAAGCAAGTCTCTTTTTATTATTGGTGTCCTTTAGTAGTGGTTACTTTGCAGCAATTCGACCATGAAGGCCTGATTCACACAGTCTCCTCTGAACAGTTGATGTTGAGATGTGTCTGTAACTCTGGGTCTTCCATTCCTGTGGCGGTCCTCATGAGAGTCAGTTTCATCATAGCGCTTGATGGTTTTTGCGACTGCACTTGAAGAAACGTTACATATTTTTTTTGCGAACTCAGTTCACAAAAATTGTCTGAAAGGGAACAAGTGTGAAAACACCCTTAACTCGTGATGAAATGGGACAATGAGGTTTATATAATTTGAGGTATGTAGCCTACGCACAGGTGCATCTTTCTGCACACTAAGCAGCACAGCCCGTTACAGTAACTGAGCCATCTCCATTCCGAGCAGGTGGGGAGCCATCACCATGACAAGGAGGAGGCTTCAGAGACGTCTAACGCTGCATTCTTAAATTCTACAGCATAAAGATACTGTCAAGTGTGATGGGTCCTGGCACGTGCCCAACAGAGCCTAAACTCCATAGGAAGCGCTAATAAAACATCCCACAAACACAGGAGGACGACCACTCCTCCACACATCTGCTGAGTTTGTTCTCTTTCACCATGGGGTTCAGGTCACTACTTTCGTTGGGCCTTAAAGAGCATCTCCCCCATGGCAGTGATCATGCCTTGCCGACTGATGCACATAAATGGTAGTCTGGGTACATTCATTGGTTAGTTCTGAAAGAATGACTTCAATAACTTAACCGTTGTTTGTTGTAATTTAAGGAAATGTCACTAGTATGGTATAGAATGCATGCATTTTACAGGGCAACTGCTGAAAGGAAATATTACACTGGCAAGGATTGCCAGACATGGGAGAGAGAGCAATGAACAACATACTTATTTTCATAGGAAAGTAGATTTCCCACACTTCAATGTAGCCTAGCCATATCTCACAAGCCTGGCCAAGCTGTATATTGATGCTATATGAGCCCATCAAAGCTTTGCAGGCCATTGCATGTTGAGCAATTCATTTTAATACCAGCCCTTTACATGTACTCAAAGTGGATCTTAAGCCTCGTTTCTTGATTGTTTCAGTCTAAATCACAGTGACATACAGTACAGCAACAGACAATAAACCTTTGAAATAATTCCTGCAGTCCAGTCACAGCAAGGTCACATATAACATTGTGTGGGATGTTTAATATTACCACGGAGCCTGCATCTGCGTCCAATCAAAACCGGGCTATCTGCTAATCATAAAATGTAAAAACTACTTTATTAGAGGAGTATCTGCAACTCGAAGAATCACATTGTACTGTATTGTAAATATAAAATAAATTGATATAGTGTCTCTGTCTCCCACAACACATGTTTATAGTTTTAGAGCCTCTGTAAGACACTGTAAATGTTTACTCCGATCACATTTGCCTTGACCATTTTCCCATCAGCACAGGCAAATGTGTCTCATGCCAAAGAGAGCTGTGGAAAGGGATAGGGACAGTATCTGTCCTTTATCACAGAAAAACTATAACAACACATCACTGCCATATAAAAATGAATGCATATTTGCAGAAGCATGCTGCTTGACTTCTCCACCCTTTGTGCCCCTATGGCAGGTTACATACCTATGTGTGCCTCTGTACCATCTGTATGATCTGCAGAGGGCATGCATTGTTCCATACTCCCTTCCCTTCCTCTAGCCAGCTCTTCCTCTGCCAAAACATTGCCTCCCCACTCTAATACAGTACTATAGACTTAGACACTCTTATGGGTGGTTTTATAGGTCATTTGTAGTAGCATATTGGTCGCAGTATGGTACCCATTTTAGAAAGTGATTATGTTTATGTCTGCTGAATTCAACCAGTTTCGGTCACTTTAATGACTTCAAGGTATAATTCACCTGAACTACACAACTATTCAAACGTCTCCGTACTTTGCAAGTAGTCTTTGGCCCAGGGGAGATTGTGATCATCATGCTAATTGCTGACTTTGGCATTGATAACCAAAGATCAGTGAGAGTGAATGATACCTTGTAAGCACAAACCAGCCACAGGTCAACTTTTAAATGAAAGGGTAATGCTATAACACACCCTAGTGGTGATAGGAATGAACTGAAGTGACAGAGGAGAAAATGGCAACCTTGATTAAACAGTACAACAGCAGTGTCACCCACAGTCTGAAAGGAGAACTGCTCTTGAAAATCAAATTCAGTGGCTTATCCATGTTATAAACAGCATCTACACTGTATGTGTATTAAATATTTGCGAATTGCATTTCATATTGCATTATGACAAAGGTAAACAACATGAAAGACAACTACCTTCACCATATTTTTTTTAATCAGCAATATTGGCAGACACACAAAACGTTAATTCAAAACAGAATAATTGGTGTTTTAATAACAAACTGGAATTGAATATTTACAAAATGAACTAATACGATGAGTATATTAGGTTGTTCCACATTGTACTATGTTCTTTTTATAGGAATCTAAATCAAACATGAAATCAAAAAATTATTATCTAAAGTAGCCCACACTAAATCGTTTTTAATAAAAATATTGATTAGTTCCCACAGCCTTTATAGTTCCCACAGTCTTTAGTGTAAAAACATCACTTCATACTTTCCTCCAAAACACACAATCTCACTGCAAAAATATATTTTCATGAAAATCCTATATGATTTAGTAAACAAGCAGGTAATGCAACCACATATCTCTACAGAGCCAGTGTACTTGAACTGTTTTAGCTATTGAAAAGCTTCTTCCTTCCCTCCATTCCAGACATGGACTCCACATTCTTACGCCAGTCACCCGGGTCCGCTTTCTGTGAAGAGAATGGACAGTCCTTAAAATTTAACCTTTACTTTACCAGGCAGGCCAATTAAGAAAAACATCTTATTTACAATGACGGCCTGGTGACCATGGTCACATACAGTATGGATGATCAAACACGACTCAGACACACCAACAAGACCAGTGAACTATGTATCTTGATCAGTATCATTTGAATCAAACCCATTGTTACCACATGTTTGTGTAGTACAGTAAGTACCAAGAAATACAGTACCAGCAGAAACAGCACTGTAAACTATGACATTACTATGACATGAGTTTTTTTTCTAAACTTCCCAGTCTTACCTCCTCTTCCTTCTTGTCCTTCTTGACTGTCTTCAGGTTGGACTTGAAGTCTGCCTTGGAGCTGAGTTTGGCTTCAGTCAGAGCCCCCAGCATAGCGTCGGCAGACTTCTTGACCCTCTTGAGGTTAGGTCGCTTTCCCCCCTTCAGCTCGTTGATCTTTGCATTCAGGTCTGCGAGCTGAGATGTTCATACAGCAAAAAGGTTCACTCTCCTGTACCCTTATCAGCTAAGCATGTTGCCATTTAGGGTCTTGGCATTTCAATGAAAATCAAAATGCTTTCATTTGAGAAAGAAAGCATTTTGTGGCACTTTTGGAACTTCTAGAATATTGAAATCACCAATAGAAGTCAATATAAAAATAGTTATCTTCAACAAAATATACTTTGAGGCACTTTCATAGGTAACTTCAGGTAACTGTCCTGAGTCTGACAGTGTAAACTCATTTAATTAACATTACAAAAAACAAACCTCTTTCTCATTCTTGAGCACTTTTGCTTCGATATCGTATCGTGCCTCATCCACTGTGTCACATTTCCTGTGCAGTTCCTTACAGAGCTCCTGTGAAGAGAAAAGACTCAGTCATCTATAAGCCACAGAGGACTGTTGAAAACGTACTGTGGGAGGATGCATCAAACAAACTACAAAAGCCGCCACTTAAAAATTCCATTCACTCTTCAATGAGACAGGTAGCCGGGCGCTACAAAAAAGTTAGATTTTGACATGTCTAAACAAAAAGGGAGATTCTGTTTTTTACCAACAATAAGTCCTGACAATGTAAGCTTGGATGGCTACTATCTGCGTCCCAAATAACACCTTATTCCCTGCTACTTTTGACCAGAGCCAGAGATGGGCAAAGATACTATATTGGTACAATAAAAAAATACTCTAAAGACCAATGTATCAAAATATAATACCAAATACTTTTGCAAAGTATTGTATTTAATCAAAATACAGTTATTTTAGGTATTTTCAAAATACATTTGAAAGTACATGCCTTCACTACAACAACATTCTCAGTAATGATAACAAAAAAAAAAAACATATTACTTGCTATGATTGTGATATGTGGTTGTTTATCTACCTTAGTTGAATGCACTGACTGTAAGTTACTCTGGATAGGAGTGTCTGCTAAATGAGCAAAATGTAAATGTTTACGTAAAAAGCAACAATTGCAAAGCACCTGGGTATTACTATTGGCCTTGTTTCTGGGGTGAAGCTCATTAGAATAATGCCCTGCATGCTTTGCAAGTGTTCATTTCACATTTACATATTGGTCATTTACCAGACACTCTCATCACACCATAGTGCCATCAGACTTCTGATACCAATGCAGGGTAAAATGTGGCCACAAAATTGTGAACCGCTATAGAAAAAAATGGTATAGAAAAGTATTTTGTATTTGACAAAAAAAAAAAAATACAGGTCTCAAAAGTACTGTACCTTGTTACAAAATACATTGGATTGTAGTTCAGGCCAGTGAAATACAAATGACAAAATACTCAAAAGAAATTGAAATACGTATTTCAAATACATGTAACAGAAATACTGCTCATCTCTGACCAGAGCCATATACACCCTGGACAATAGAAGTGCACTATATACTGTAGGTACTTGAACCTTAGCATTATGTTAGTGTACCTGAAGCTCCTGCACAGATAGGCCGGAGAGTTTCAGCGGTGGTACTCTCTCATTCAAGGTGCTCTCCCTCTCTGTCACCTTGTTGCTTTGCTCCAGGACCAGCAAGACGCCAGCTTTCTTCAGTAGTTTTTGCTATGAGGAAACATGACTGAACAACTTAATGATAACACAGTACAATTCATAGTTGAAATGATGTACAAAATGTTGTGTTTTCAAGTGTTTTTTGACTTTTATATTGCAATCAGTTTTGGTGAACATGATTTTCAAGGCACTTGTATGTTGTTGTTGTTGTTGTTGTGTGTGTACAGATGTAGGATCTTAATTTGATCACTGTTTGGTGCTGAGAATTTTGTGATTTTAATAAATTCACTGAAAACCCACACTAGCACACAGTTATATTAACAGTATTGCACTTTTCATCTAGCCTACTTTTGGCCAGGTCATAGCCTAACCACCGATCAATCAACATTATAGACTAAACCAGGGGTGTCAAACTCATTTTGCCCTCGGGGCTCCATTCAGTCTTCAATGAGGTCCGGAGTGCCGCACTGAAAATTGGTTATATTTCTTCATTGTCAAAATGTGCAAAAACTGGTCCTCTATCCATTGTTTTTTAAATTTGGTTTTTGTAATTTTAAAGTATATTGAGTCCCCTTTCCATGACATAGACTGAACAGGTGAATCCAGATGAAAGCTATGATCCCTTATTGATGTCACTTGTTAAATCCACTTCAATCAGTGTAGATGAAGGGGAGAAGACAGGTTTTTAAGTCTTGAGACACTTGAGACATGGATTGTGTATTTGTGTCATTCAGAGGGTGAATTGGCAAGACAAAATATTTAAATGCCTTTGAATGGGGTATGGTAGTAGGTGCCAGGCGCACCGGTTAGAGTGTGTCAAGAAATGCAATGCTTCTGGATTTTTCACGCTCAACACTTTCCTGTGTGTATCAAGAACAGTCCACCACCCAAATGACATCCAGCCAACTGTGGGAAGCATTGGAGTTAACATGGGCCAGCATCTTTGTGGAACGCTTTCGACACCTTGTAGAGTCGACGAATTGAGGCTGTTCTGTTTTGTACACTCAGTGTATATAATATACAGTATATATATTTGTTTCAAACCACTCGCGGGCCGGATTGGACACCTTTGTGGGCCGGATCCAGATTATTTGCTGTGACAATATACTGTAGGTCAAATTAAGATCCTAGATCTGAACATGTGTACTAGTCATATGCAGCATGCTAAACATACATACTATCAGTGCTATGAATACATTTTCTTGTTCACTTCCATACAGAAATAAACTCCCATCAGACCGACCTACCTTCAGCAGTAACCTGCGGGTCGCTGAGTACTTTGTCTTTTTCTGAAAAAGAGAGATGAGACATGCCAGGTATATAACAGGCTCATTACAGTCACTAATGATGTTAGCACATCTTCATATGTAGGTAGGCTCATTCATTACAGTCACTGATGACGTTAGCCTAAAGTCATATGTGGTCTCTATTACAGTGGAGCTACAGAGCATACAACAACCTGTCTCTGTTGATTAGGATGAGCTGTGATTCCTAATGTAATAGAATGTAATGCTCAGCCACCAAATCACCAAATACTTAATTGAAGCACAGTCTTAGAGAGCAAGGGGCTCATTTCTACTGTGTATGTGGCTTGGTATTGATACCAAATTAGTCCTTCCATGTGGATAATGCTGCAGTGGTCTTGGGATAATTTATATGATTATCAGTTAGCCTGAGACAAATGGCCTTGTGACACAACAATTACTCAGTAATTGATGATAGCTTGTAATGTCTAACATGTTAAGTCCCACAAGCTGTTTCCAAGATTTCAGTGTGGCTATTCAGAAGCATGACATGATAACTGCCTGCATAGCATATGTATACCGTATCAAATGACCATTACAAAGGTTTAATTGTGCACAACAAAGCAAAGTTATGAGGTTTAAACTGCCACAACAAAGGGTATGAGGGGGAAAAATATGTCCAAAACTGACTTACCGGTCTGTTTCAACATATTGCAATCAAACAAACAAACAAATCGAAAGAAGGCGTTATTTTCTGTCCCGTATTGACAACATTTCCATAGTTGTGTGATTGATTGAAAGGCACAGAGTGTGACAGTTATAGACTCACCCCTCAGACATGGCTGTTCTGGTTTATGAGTACTGCTGGGGAGCCAACATAGTTGTGGTCAGAGGTTTATTGGCAGAACATTCACAACACTAGACATCATATGGAAAGTATCATATGGAATGAGATTTAAGAGTCAATGTATCATACTAGGAACAATTATCACATATGAAAATAATGTAATAGGTTACCATCATGCATGTATTAGACTTGTGACTATTATCAGCTACTGTAATAGAACAGAAATCACTCTTATCATAGAAGTTATTGGAAAAGACAGTTGTGATTATCTGGGTGATAATCAAGGTCCCCCACAAGGTCCTCATGTCCTGACTTAGATAAAAGAGGCTGACCTTGGCTCTTTTATTACCCAGAGAGCAGGGGTTCACTGTCAAGGTTAATAGGGTCCTTGGATGGAATTGTCTGATGATAGAAAACGATGAAGGAGAAAAAGCTTTCAGTACCCAAGATCCTTTTTTATTTCTCCTTACATTTTCTCAGAAGTGCTATACCCTTGAGCCATTATCACCTTTGGTGCTAGCATGAGCTACTATGCGAGGTGAGATTTTGACCGACCAAGGGCATTGCTGCAGTGTCTGCTGCACCTGGCCACCAAATAACTGAGGTCCATTGAGTAAAAATACTGTCTGCTTTAATGTCACCATTGTGACATTACAAGGAAGGATCAAACTTGTGACCTTTCCGGTGACATGCTGTTCTCCTGGTAGAGAAGCCTTATTAGCTCCCTGTGTTAAAACCAACCCTCTGGGCTCCTCACACATCACACGAAAGGAAACACACACACACACACACACACACAGACGCACGCGCACACACACACACACAACACACACACACACGTCGTTGCCTGCTCCCGCCACTGAGTAACGTTGGGAGGGGATTCAAAAGCAATGTCCCAATTTACGACCAAGCAGGTCTAACACCAATAAAATACATTTTTTTTACGAGAATTCCTCGTTGTAAATATGAGCGAAGATATGAGGTGTGACCGCTTAAGCATGAACACACTAGCCCCAATTAGGTAAACACAAACTGTACACACAATCAACTGCTGGCAACTACTGAAACTTAATCTGTGTATTGTTAACTTCTAGGAAATCTTCCCTGAAAAGCGAACACATTTCCCATTTGAACAATGTAAACCCAAATTCTATTTTACATGGCAGATTGCTCTTGACAATGGTCTTAACCAAACATTTTAAAATACTTAAAACATTCAAAAGACCTATCTGCTTTAATTGCTCTCACATACTTCTCAGAATATTATTTGTTTTCGTAGACTGAGCTGAGACGATCGGATAACTTACCTTTAAAATAGAAGCCAATCAGAGAGTGAAAGTGTAGTAGTGATGTCGTGCAGGAAAAAGCGGTTTATGATTTTGTATGATTGATTTATGGCTTCTGCTGCCTCATGTGAATGGCTCTCTAAAATAGGCCCCCCTCTTACGCCTCCCTAACACACATTGGCCACATTTTGATCATCACGTGTGTGTGTGTGTGTGTGTGTGTGTGTGGACCCTGCCCTACCCTGTCCTCAACCCTTGACTGACTGCCCTGATATAGACATAAAGGGGCAGAATGGTACTTTATTTTGACATGTAGAAGAGTTATATGAGTAAAAACAAAGTTTTTATGTGCATTGTACTATACTGTAGTATTTACAATAGTGTTTTTGCGGACTGTAGTGTACTATAGTATTTACTGTAGTGTTTTTGCAGACATTACTGTAACATTTACTATAGTGTTTTCATTTGATTATGTTTGACATAGAAGTGGAGGCTTTCTCCTTCAGGAAACATACAGGAGAAATACAAAAATAAAATGAAAGCTTTTAAACATTGTACACATTCGCATTACATAGCGTTGGGTGGAATGTAGCGACAGAAGTCTATCAGAAGAGTTAGAGGCGTAGCCTATTGGGGGCATGGCTTTAAGTTTGTTCTTTTTGGCCACCCGTGAGAGTGAACGTCATGTTCAGTTTTTTTCTATTTTCAATGATTGTATGTTCATTGCAAGCACTGAATCGTATGTTATTTATCAGGTTTAACCAAAGCAGAAAAGTAGGTTGAGTGTTGAAAGAACATGTTAATTTTTTTTCAATTGATAAAATCTAAATCATTTGTGTGTAATATTCCCAAGACCAGTTCCAAAGACAACAAAGCCTTATGATGTTCTCACGGTCAGGTGCGGCAGCTATAAAAGCACATAATTGTTTAACTGAGCATTTTATGGGGCTGTCTGACACTATGATTCAGTGGAGCCATGCAGCCAGAGGCTCTGTTTTTTAAATGATAACACATTGAGCTCAGTAGCGCAGGCCTAATTACACATGGATATTACTCTGGGTAATGTAATGGCTAACTGTGCCACTTACTTTAGTGTAGTGTAGTCTTGGGCCTGGTGATAGGAAGGATGGTACTCTCTAGGTAACTACTGTATCTCTCTGTTTAGAGACCTGAGTCAAGTTGGTGGCGTCCGGCACACGTGAGAAAATCAGAGGGCGCGGGGACAGGCCATTTCTTGGCATATGACACAGAGACATGTGTTTTGTGATATACACACCCACACAGGTATGCAGACACGCAAATAAACAAGCACTCACAAAACCCACCCACCCTCACATCGGGCATTGCGCAGGTAGGAATCCACAATCCACACACACAATGCCCACTGTTCCATGCTCTAAAATAGCTGGGGTTGATGTCACTGCCGTGCAGTGATGCACAGTAATTCGATATGTCCCATGGTGCTGTTTTCCATGAGACTGAGTCAGCATTCCAAATATCACCCTATACCCTACATAGTACACTACTTTTGACCAGGGCCCATAAGGCTTATGTTGGGAATATGGAGCCATTTGGGATTAAGCCTAAATTGCTCCGGTATTTAAGGTGCTGTTCAACCTTTAAGGCCATATGCCCTTTGTCACACATCTAATTTTAGAGGTTAATCAGTCATAAACAGATAGTAAACACTTGGGTCTTACGGCCTTAAACTTGAAGCAGGCAGGCGGGCAGGCAGGCAGGCATAATTGATTATTCATTTTTAATCCATTCAGAGGAATCAGAGAGATTTGACATGCCGTCACCCGTCAGATGCATTTGGAGGCAATGGAGGCCACAGTGGAGGCCTCAACACTAAAGATTGGAATGATTTCATGCGCTGTATGTGTGTTACCATCACAATGATCTCCCTGCTGCTTTTGTCGATTGAGAGAATACCTGTCATTATGACGGGATAGCTCGCTACTTATGCCGTTTTCAAAACAACTGGGAACTCGGAAATCTCTGACTTTCCGACCTGAAGATCACTGATGTCATGTTTTGACCTCGTTTTTTGACTTCGTTTTTTCCCAGTTGTCTTGAACGCACCATTAACTGTGAGGATAATACGACAATACGAGTCCTTAGGAAAACTGATGTGCACTGAGGTTCTTACCTAATTTCTAGAGCAGGGGTGTCAAACTCATTCCACGGAGGGCTTAGTGTCTGCAGGTTTTTGGTTTTTCCTTTCAAATAAGACCTAGATAACCAGGTGAGGGGCATTCCTTACTAATTAGTGACCATCATCAATCAAGTACAAGGGTGGAGCGAAAACCCGCAGTCACTCAGCCCTCTGTGGAATGAGTTTGACACGTGTTCTAGAGGAAGATGACAATGTATAGTCTACACCAGGGTTCTTCAATTCCGGTCCTGGAGGGCCGAAACACGTCTGTTTTTTATTTCTACCTGGTAGATAATTGCACTCAGCTGGTGTCCCAGGTCTGAATTAGCCCCTGATTAGAAGGAGAGGATGAAAAACATTTACATTTTAGTCATTTAGCAGACGCTCTTATCCAGAGCGACTTACAGTTAGTGATTACATATATATATTTTTTTATACTGGCCCCCTGTGGGAATCAAACCCACAACCCTGGCGTTGCAAACACCATGCTCTATCAACTGAGCTATATTCCTGCCGGCCATTCCCTCCCCTACCCTGGACGATGCTGGGCCAATTGTGCGCCGCCCATGAGTCTCCCGGTCGCGGCCGGCTGCGACAGAGCCTGGATTCGAACCAGGATCTCTAGTGGCACAGTTAGCACTGCGATGCAGTGCCTTAGACCACTGCGCCACTCAGGAGTGAAAAAACAAAGATGTTTCGGCCCTCCAGGACCGGAATTGAAGAACCCTGGTCTACACCATGCATGTCATGTTCAATAGGGATAAATGCTGCATAAAGGATCTGATCATAAAAATGTATAATGAGAAACTATGAACTTTGACCTATATCTGCTGAAGTATGACCAACCAAATAAAGTAGTGGGATGAAATAATTACTAATTTTGAAAGAAGAGATCTGTGCCATCCAACAGATTTCATTCATCAAATCCGAACTCTAAACAAAATAAGACTAATTTTTCCTATTTGGTTTAATAATGGTAGTTGATACCAGGGTGAAAGGAAATACTGCCCTACAGTCGATTGGTTTATGCAAATTAGCCGCAGTAATAATATAATTTAACACCCCCCACTCCACCCCCTCCACCCTCCCTCTGCATACCTTAGACGTGAGTAGTGTGGTTCTAATTTTAATTCGATTGGATTTACATAACGGTTTTCCATTAACTGGGTCCCCAACGAGCCTTCACAGATAGCGTCAACTGCTCCCCAATGCCCACAACGCTAATAAAGCCTGGTGACGTCACTCCTCTGTCTGTCTGACTGTATCCAGTCCAATCACCATCATGGCTGCCTAGGCCTGTGGACAATGGACCCACTTATACTGAATCAAGTATTGCACTATTATCAACAAACGAGACATGATATGACGGATATTGTTGCTGTTACAAAAGGCACCTTAAGCTGTGGTGCATGATGATGTTGAGAGATTCATGCATAAGAGCCTTTAGGCCCATATCGGTTACAGTATTACTTGACCTGAAAAAATGTGCCTCCTTGGTCTCAGACACCATCGTACTATACATAAATGGTTATGTCACTGGTTTCAAGTTGCCATGACTTTGTAGTGTCAATTTTGAAGCAAGGTGAGAAAGACAGAAGACAGAAGTTCCCATGTCAAGAATCCTGTTTATCGTAACAAGTACACACTATTAATCATAAGTAGTCGATACAGGTCCACCTTCATCATCTTTAAGTTCACTGAACAGCTAAAGTAATTCTCAGTCTACACCCCATCATATTATTATTTTGTGCTCAATCAATGTCTTGAAGTAAACAACCTTTATTTTGCCTTTAGTGTTTTCTCTCTCCTCACTCCTCGGCACTTCTGTTCAGTCACAGAGGGGGGCATATTGTTTAACACGGATGAAAGCTCTTGAATCTGGATAGAGAGTAATTGCTCTGCAGGCAAAAAACCGAGAGGCAGCAGCGAGCCGCCATCTTTTGACATACTTTGTACAGAGTTGAAGTATTTTTGAACTGGGTCAATTTCAAACATACACTCCTCCTATCACGTCCTGTAATGTCCTGTATCAACAGTGACGGTCTCTCAGACTGACCTAAAAACAACTCCTAAAGGAACCAACGATTCAAAGACATGAGGCCATGCTATCAAATATTTACCAAATCGCTGTACCAATCACCACACAGGGGGACATGTTTGGCATAAGGCCTTTGAAAAGCATCTGTGCACTGTGGCGGCTCCTCTCTAGTCTCCACTCCCTCCGAATAGGGTGATATGTAGAAAAAGGGAAACTGTTTCCCATTCTTCTCATGGCCTCAATTCAGTTGAATGAATATATAAGGGCAGTATATAATTATTTCTTTCAAAGTGGGGGGATGCAAGCTATAATTCATCCAATGCGGGGCTATTTGCATTTAACAATAATAACTAATCTTGCCAACACGTGGATGGGTAAACTCACCACACACCAATGGCTTAAGCTTTAAAAACCCAATTCCACCAAGCTGAAAATTAAAGGTGCTCTTTTGCTCAATGCTTTTTAGGATTACTTTTACTCAGCATCCATTTGAAATGTTTCTCAAAGCGAGAAGGGAAACATATAGCATAAAGACCCTCTAGAGGCCTATGCAATAACAGCCAATGCCATTCATTGGTGTGCGAGTCAACAAACATGATATTCAGTGAATAGCAACAATGGATGTGTTCTTCACCCCCCACATTCAATGTAATGTACTGCTACACAGCATATTCTCCAGTGTTAAATTTAACACTGGGCCAGTGTCTATGCAATAACACCTTCAGTGTTAAATTAACACTGTGCTTAGTGCTGACGCTGTTACACTTTGTCAGTGTTAGGAAATTAACACTTTTAGTGTTACGCAATAACACCTCTTATAGTATTTTGTAACACTAGTTAGTGTATTTAGTTTATACCAATGGTGTCATGCAATAAAGCCTCATATAGTATATTTAACCATTACACAAAGAGGTCTTTATCTCTTGACAAGATTGCACATGTTGGATTAAGGACATTACAAAAACATTTTCATTAATGCCACACACTCTTATGCAAGCATTTACAAAGACTTCAGAACTGGCCACAGACATGACAAACCTACAATTAACATAACCATAGACCAGTTAAACTGGTACAACACTCCCACTAAGCCATGCCTCCAATATACTTTCCCGGTGTGCCTTGCCTTGCCTTATTGAGAGTTACCACCCATGACTGTATTTGTTAATAACAGACACATGGTTGTTGAATTAATTCGTTTTACAGTCCTGTGGACTTCACTGATTGAGTTCATACTATAGCCAAATGTTAGCATTAAATTAAACTCTTTAGGAAAATACAGTAAATATATCATAAGGCCTTACTTTGATGACCAAATTTTGCCCGTACACAGTGATGTTAGGAACCTTGTGGATTATAGGCCACATTACAGATGTGTAATTTCTATTGGAATCCAGCCAACAATTTGACTTTTTTGTCAACCACAACCTGCATTCAGAATGATTGTCAGGGTTAGAAAAATTGTGAGGAGACAACCTAAACCATTTAAACTGGAACAACCATTTCAGTGCAATAAATCTAACTAACTGATTGTATTAGTTTTTTTAAATGTATGTTATTTATCTTTGTGTAGCATAAGATTAATCAATCAATGTACATGCAAAAACACAGATATGAAAAACAATCCAAAAAAATATTACCTGCAGTAGAGCATGCTGGGAAATCTGATAATAATGGGAGTGGTTTTGATGGGAATGTTTTACTCTCCACAGAGGTAACACTGGCCAATTTGCTGTGTATTCATTCATTCATTCATTCTCTCTCTTGCTTGCTCTCTAACCAAGCCGCTACTGATCTCTGACATGCATTACTCTCCTCGGCCTCAAGGGAGAAGCTTCTCATGACTGATCACATACAGAAGGAGAAAATAGCTGATGCAATGATTCCAAATGAGAGGACTTGTAAACATGTCACATACAGTTGTTAAAGATGATAATAGAAAGGGTGGAGCGTGACACTGCAGTCTGCTCCACAATGAATCCAATTCCCACATGTACATTGAAAACAGGGAGAGGAGGCGTCTCTGACGCACGGAGTGGAGAATTCTCCTTCATCCAGCGAGAAGACCTAATGCAACATTAAATCCTTCATCCATTTGACAGCATATTAAACCTCTGTTGTCAACATTAACAGTGCTTATTTATTGTGTTGTTGTAGACAGTTCCACATCACTGTCAGTCTAACTCTGCATATGGTAAATGTGGGTGTGTATTGTATTGACAGTCTTTACTGCAGGGTTGACTGGTGAGAAAGGTTGTTGACATATTGAGGTGACTCGTGGGAGTTGACATTGGTGGTTCCAGCCTTTCTTCTGCTGACATCCTACTGTCAAATAAGGTCTGCACTACAACCTGTTGTCAACTGCACAACTCTCTGCTTCTCCAGAAAGGTTATATTTCGGAATAATTTGGATATTACTTTAACCATAATGCTTTACTACGTGGCCCCTACATAAGGACCATATCACACAATCATAAGCAATTCATAAATGTTAATACCAGCTTATGTAAACAACTTCAGGTTGTCTAAGGACAGATAGCACACCAACACTTTGGCTAACCTGCATCCTCTTAGGCCCTGTTCTGTTTCTACCCTAACCCCCTCCTGAACCTAACCACCTCCTCCCAGAAGACTGAGGCTGGTTTACCTACCTGTGCGTTGGGCCGGCCCCACTTGTCCGCGGCAGGCTCAGCAGCCCTGATAAGATCCTGTGTCCTGTCATTGGGATTGTTTGGGCATGAGACAGGTTACGGTAGGGTGAGACAGGTTGGCGGCGGTGTGTTTTTGAGTGACGGATTGGGTCACGGGAAGTACACACATGTCTCAGATTGGTCTGTCAGTTGGATGACCTCCGTTGACCCTCCTGTGGGTTGCTGCGCTGCAGGCTGGGCGGATGGCTACACAGACCACAGACAGAGGAGGATGGGCCTGTAAGGCTTCAGGCTACTGGGGGATAGGGGGGATAGGGGAAGAAGAGAAGAGAAGAAGAAGAGTGCCCAGTACAGTCTATCTACCTATGACTCATGTGGCTACTGTCTCATTAATGTCAGATCAGGCATCTTGAGAAATGGACAAGCAATAGGCTACATCAAGCAATTTATTCTCCTAACTCCTTTCAATCTCTCTGTCAGGGATGTGGATTGTAAACACATACAGAATATACAGTACATCACTTCCCCAACTACTTGAATAAATAAATACAAATTGTAAGAATTAAGGTTTGCTTGAGCGATTACAATAATGTAATGCCTCATAATCCAATGTGAATGTAGGACATTTTCTCCTGAGTTACTTCATAAACCCCACTGGACACAAATACTGAAAAATACAACAATAAATTAGCTCAATGTTTCATTGGGATTAGAAACAAAAGGTGTTAGCTAATTAGCTTATAACCTCGAACAAATTGCTTTCTGTCTGCACAGATTGTACAGATAAAAAAAACACTGCTATTGTTGAAATATAATGGTGGAAAAAGCGCGTTGTGCATTTGAGGATACCTACAGTGACTCTTATCAGTCCAACCATACATATCCCATTAGCCCGCAAGAGGACTTTGAACTCATTAATTGATTTTTAATTGGCTAAAGCTAAGCGGCGGACACGGTCACCACAAGACAGCTTACAGGAAAAACCTTCAATACAACAACCTCTGACTATCTGGCTATTGTTACGCACAAACGCATGCACGCACACACACGCGCACACACACACGCGCGCACGCACGCACGCACGCACGCACGCACGCACGCACGCACGCACGCACGCACACACACACACACACACACACACACACACACAAACACACACACACACACACACACACACACACACACACACACACACACCAACCCCCCGGTGTACAACTGAATAATGTTATAATTGAGAAGTAGCAGGCACATGTCTTATTCACTCACAGCCAGGCAGCCTGGATGGGATAATTACAGGACTACATACAGCTCTTTCCATGGCCTATGATCCCTAGCCCGGGTTCTCCTGGGCTTATCTGGGAGTCAGGAGGGCCCTTTCATTTGTTAGCTCTGCCCTGACAGAAGAGAAGAGAGCAGAGGAGAGGAGCTGCGGCATTAAACAAAGCTTTATTATGTGCCTCTGATATAGCCAGAAATAAAGGGCTGTCTGCTGCAGCGGATCACAGATGCTGGCTGCTTTATTTCCACATTTATTATGTAGGCCTGCCTGCCATCTTGATAAGGGTATCTCATAACCCGCGCTAGCTACCGTACCACCCGCCTAATCCAAGAGAGCTCCACTCTGCTCTGCTTCGCTCCGCACACTGGAGCTGAACAATTTTGTAGGGAAGTCCTCAGCGGCTCAATCTGAAGTTTCATCTCAAGTAAATATGGATATATGAATCCCCCTGAATGCTAAACCACTGCATCTGGCAGAGAGGTGAAATGTGATTGGGTGCAACAGAAGTGGGTATAGCTAGTATCTGATACTCCCAGGCCTGCTTCGGAAGAGCTAGCGTTCTAAGTTGAAGATACACTTCTCCTGCATTTTGATACCATCTTTGAGGGTAAACATGAATATAAATTAGCTGATGAATGTGGTGAGTCATTGCAAAGCAATTATCACTATACACTCTTAGAATTAGTGGTGAATCATGAACCCTGGATCCTCATTGCTAGTCAATGGTTCATATTTGCACCTTTGGTTAGTTGAGGGGTTCTTGGTGGAACCTTTAATGTTTTTTAATGTAGCAAAGGGTTCCTGGAGGAACCCTGGAATGGAGGTTTGGCTTAGTAGCGGCGTGGCTTTAAGATATATCCTTTTTAAGCCAGCCATGGGAGTAAATGTCATTGTTGTTCATCTGTTCTGTTGTATTTTCAGCACATATTAAGGTTGTACACTAATAGTTTTGTTATTTCAATGAGGCTTACAGAGGTGTATGAGTTCCTCAAGTGCCAAAGTTGGGCTAGTTACCACTTTATTACTATATGTAATCATTAATATTATTTTAGAATACGCATAAATATTCAACTAAATGTAACGTGACATGCAGTGTACAAACTTTTAACATGATGAACAGGAATTACATTTGATGTAGCAGGTGGCCAAAAATAACTATCTGAAAGCCATGCCTCCAATAAGCCACGCCTCCAATCTTCTGTTAGGCTGTGACCTCTACAATATATTATTAAAAAGGTAAAACATTTAACCCCTCCCATAACAAAAGGTTCCGGTTTGAACCTTTACACAGGGATTCCTCGAAGACCCTTTTCAGAGGGGTTCCTAGAGGAACCTTTGTCAACTGGAAAGGTTCCCCCTATGTGGCAATTTTTAGAACCCCAAAAGGTTCTTCCAGGCTCCTTTACTTCTAAGAATGTATACATAAGAGACCATTTAGTCCTATGGTACACAAGTTGGCGGGTACTTTTATGAAAGTATTGTGTTGGTCGACAGTAAGCCATGTATTTGATACATTGTAAAACATTTAAATAAAAAGTTGTTACGGGAACTTACTGGCAGCCAGTTACTGGTAAGTTACTGTAAAGAAAGTTATAGTATGTACCCGTAAATTCCAAAGAAACGTTGGTTAAACATTACATTACTGTAATGTGCTGTTAAACCAAAGTTTCTTTAGAATTTACGGTATCATACTGTACCTTTTTTTTACAGTAACTTACAGGTAACTGCTGCCAGTAAGTTACCGTAAAAACAACAGAATTGTTTTACCGTGTAGGTCTAGTAGTAAATGGGAATCATCAAATTGGCTTGTGCAGGAACATCTTTTGTTTGTCTGTGGTGATTCATCGGGGTAGTTTCAATGCAGTGCAGACTGGACGTCACTAATGATGAAAAGGAGCTGTAAATATCATTCACAACATTGGACCCTACTATTACTCACAACACCACCTACGGCTGCTTTTTACATTTCTACCATTATGCGATTATACATAGACTTGTATGTAGCAATATGTATGTAATATTTCAACTCTGTCATTATGTATTTAGACACATTATGGAGGTGGAAACATGGAAAAATAAAAATATGTCAAGTCAAATACACAGCTGACTGAACTGTGTCCCAGGTAGGTAGAATACTGCATTGAATTCAGATGCCTCCCAGCAGTATCTGTGCTGTGAAATTCTGTAAATGGCGGGATTTCAGCTCTGCCAAATAACTGGAGGTCAACGTAATTTTACCACTGCCAATAGCGCCCATGGTGACATTGTAGTGTAGCTGATTTTTTCATCTATTTGGTTACGTGTGGAGGCTACCTTCCCTGAAGGGAAAGAAATTCAGGGCACTTTCCCACTGGCTCAAATACTTAGTTCTTTTTTGGTAATATCTTTGATCACATGGCACTTATTTCAAAGTAATCTAACTTTGGGGACTAGCATGCCGTAGTCCATGCACTTACCAGCAATTCCAGTGAAGTCAAGACGCAGAACTGCGATAGTTTCTCCCTCTCCATACATAATGGTTTGACTTCACAGCTGAGCCATGACACACCGCTGGCAGAAATTTGTCTGATAAGCCTTAACCTTTTATCTCAGAGATCAGTATATTTAGCACATTTACTTTTATATTTTTCCCACAGTGGGTTTGAGCTTTCCATTAATTCTGTTTTTTGGAGGTTAATGCATCATCTTAGCATTACACTCTAAGAATGACGGGAGATTCAAATGGATTTTGAGACTGAGCAGTACTTTCTCCATCTGGCGTTCATCAATATGTTTCTAAGCGAGGAAACGAAAGAGAATGTTGGATCTGTTCAAGTGCCTCATGTAATGTTGTCTGTCTAGATCAGTGATGGTGGAGTGTGACATAATACCATATTCCAATTCAACCAGTGAGAACATTCTGTCTCTCTGTCACTAGATATTAGAAAATGTCCCCTTGAAAATGGGTTGCTTGCACTCTCAGTGAATTGAGCCCACAGCAGCAAGCATATCGAGACAAACGCCACACTCGTGAGACACAGCTCTTCTCCAACACAATGTCATTGAATTTGAGATAAGTATCACTCACAAAATCTCCAAGAACCCTCATTTTGGCAATATGGTCCACTTCATCAACTTATGAAGTACTTTACCAAGATATAGTATAAGTGTACATTACAATCCCAAAGAAGATAGCGCTAACAATTTGTGACAGGATTTGAACCTGGGTTTCCTGCGCTTCAGAAGGCTGTGTTAGCCTAGCCCTCTGAGCTTTAGCCTAGGCATTCACTTGGGGAGCTAACACATGTCTTAGGCAAGGTTACTCATTGCACAAGCATGGCTCACTGAACTACATCCTTTACATTGACACACATGTGTACTTCTCTAAGAATCCTCAAATGAAAAGGTGCATATTTGTCAAGCCCCTGCTTGTTTCACTTGATATGAATCTCTGATATGTTTTTCCAAGTTTAATAACATAAATCTGTCCTGCTAAATAGATTCTGCACTGATGAAATGCTTTCCTCAGACTGCCAATGTCCTTTGGGTCATTTCTCTGCAGATTAAAAGCTAATTCAAATCATATTTTTCTTCTCATATAAACAAGATGAGCTTAGATCCTCAGCAGAAGTCATGATAAGTAGCTTTGCAAATATTTGGGTCCAGAAGCACACAAACTGTGGCCCTGAATCAACTAGTCTTGTTTGGGAAATTAATTTAGGCAAGGACATAAATGGATTAAGACTCATTAAAAGACATTTGAATAAAATGTATGACATTTTCTCACAAATGTCTAACATTGACA